CCAAACTATTTTTCATTTTTTCTTTTTGGTGGAGAAAGTCGGATACCCTCCATCGATAATAAAAATGACGGAAAATTTTTGCGCAAAATTATCACATATTTTTTGCACACACGCATATGCATATAAAATGAAAAATAAAAATGCAAATATAACACTGTCATAATAGATAATAGTTTGTATATACAATATGTCTAAAATATGAGTCAAATAATACAAATCGGCAAAGTCCTACAAAGTCAAAATAAATAAAAAACACAAGTAGAACTATGGTGCCGGAGGACGCAGATGAGGAGGAATGTTTATCATATTGAAGAACATCGCAGACCGAGGAGTATGCTCCTCACCAGCTCCAGACTCCCTAGTAGGTGGGAATCTCAACACAGGGCCAGTCCACCAAGGCTCACCCTGGTACTAAATCGACAAAGCCTGAGGCTGTTGTGGCTGCTGCAACGATGAGCCAAACTTGTACATCCTACCACCCACCGGAGGAGCCGATGTCGCGCCTCCTTGGCCCATCGGCCTAGTCTATGCGCCCTCAGACGAAAAACCCAAACCCTCCAATGTCTTAGTCCGAGCAGCATCAGATCAGCCACCTCGGCCAGCGGAAGTAGTACGGTGACGTCTCGAGTAAGACCTGAAGGGATCCTTCCTAGCCTCGGGTCTCGCTCGAGTATGTGGTGAAGGAATAAGCTGTCCCTGCAAAATTAAATCAAGTCAGATACAAAGAAAATATGAGAATAAACAATACAAAATGAAAGAAAATGAGATACCTCCTCAGTAACGTCGTCACGACGACAGGAAGCTCGATTCCTCATCCTCACCGGCTGACTCCGAAAGGCATCTATACACCTCGCCATCGTTGTCACCACCTCGCGCGAGAACGGTCAAAAACAAAGTCAGTAACCGTACAAGATTAATGCAAAAAAACAGTAAACAGATAACTCACCCAAGTCTGGTGACTGGGAATAGACCGCTCAACAAAGCGCTGATCCTGAGGAGCCGAAGGAATCATCTCCTCAATTGGGTCGTACGTCCCCTGGTAGCTGATGGACATCCGAGGAGGAACGAACTCAGCAGGCGCAGCGTGGCAAAAAAAGAAATCTAAGTTATTAAAGTCTACTTGGGGGATATCTACAAAAAAACAAAAGGATAAAAAGCATATCGTCGCCTCCTCGGATAAAACAGGAGCCGGAGCTAGCAATGGCAACAAATAATCCCAGTAACACCGCCTTAGACGGGCTTGAGACCGCCAAGGTGTACCAGTAGGCAACCTTTCCGCCAAGTTTGTCAGCATCGCCTCATGAAACATGTGTCGAGGCGAAGGAGTAGGGACGACAAATGTCTCCGAATAGTGCTGGACAACCACTCTCTCACCGAGGTACACCACGGCCTCGTACGTCCCCTGATAGTAGCGACGCTTAGTAGTATACTACGCAGCCAGCGTAGGAACAGCCAGATCGGCCCATGGCCTATACACCACATCAGGCTCCCACAAGACATGTCTGTGAGATTAAATTTTATTAAAAGGCAATATAAGAGACAAGTGTTCAAAAAGAACATACCGAGAGGACCAATTCTTGAACATGGGCAGTAGCGGCCTCGCTACTGATATGACCTCCCCAACAGCCGCCAATAGGGAGCTCACGAGGGAAGGTCTCGCTGGCGCAAGCGATTGAAAATACTCGTAGATACAAATCTACAAAGATAGAAGAAGATCAACGAATGCTAATAAGAATCTAGAGCTAACTTTAAAAAGGGATAAAGTATACATCTATAATCCTCCAAAAGCTTGAGAGTGCGATGTCCTCCGTAAAATATGTGTAATGAAAAAAGCGTCGCAAGCCCAGCAGGAAATCAGCATATGTCAAGCTGGCTTAGTCATAGGTCCGGACCAGCTTAAGGTCGCGGAGAGCAGGGAGGTAGTAAAGAAGTACTCGGCTACCTCTGTCAGGAGAAATGGTCCCTAACAGCAAAATAAGAACAAAGATGAGCACCCGCTACTCACTAGTTGTCGCATCATCCTCAAAAGCCATCGCTAGAGTAGACCGGCGGATACACTGAGAACTAATTCATGTCGGCTCAGCCTTGACACGGGCCCGAATAGTAATCGGACCCAACAACTCCTCAACCATCGAAGAAAGGACTGTAATCCTACTGTCAAACGGTAGCGCAGTAGAATGGAACTCCAGTCCCGAGATAAGACTGAAGTCAGACTGGGTGACGGTAATCTCGCCCCAGGGAAAGTGAAAGGTGTTGGTGGTGTCCTAGAAGAACTCCACCAAAGCTTGAACCACGTGGTGGCTTGCGTTGATAGAGTACGTAGTCCGAGTGGCCCGAAGCAAGGCCGTCAGCCAACAAGACTCCCAGAGTAGTCGCAACTCCTCATCGTTGAAAAAATATTTGTTGTACACAGAGTCAATGGTCTCGTTACCAGAGTCGTGGCTACGAGTCCTCCCGCTAACGATCCCGCAACACACCCGCTCAGAGATGTGGTGCTCAGGAGAGAAAATAGAGTCCGCTCATCTCACTCAGGGAAGGGTCCTAGAGAGGTGGATAGCTCCTCGCCCTCACCAACAGGATCATGCTCCCATCGAGTATCCCTAGACCGGGAACTGGAACCGCGTTGTCTATCCATACTATATTATGAAAAATAACAAAAATTAAGGGTCTATAGTATCTAAGGTTTGCCTAGCCACATGATACTATGTTCGCAAAAAACAGAGTAAGTAGTACTACAACAGAGCACGAATTCAATTCAAGCATATATGGCATTTTCAAGCAATCAAACAATTTCTTACAATACTATTACAATTATTGTGACAGATTGTACAAGAATAGCTAGAAAAACGTGAAGAACAAGCCGCATTGTACTCACGACCTCAAGGGGTTCAACAATGGTGAATTGTTCGTTCTCCACTAAATTGAGTCAAACAAGTCTAAAAAAATTCCCAAGGAAATATACAAATATAATCAAGCAATTTCATGGCATAAAATTCAATAAACAAAACAAATTAAGCAAAGTTAGTTTCAAATTTTAAGAAAATTCCTGAAATAACATGCAAAAATTCAGCAAAATTCGAGTGAGTTTGAAGAAAACTTACATAGATCAGGAAACTAGATGAAATAAGCTTCGATTTGCAAAAGGTTTGAGCGAATTTGGTTGAGAAATGAGAGAGAACGAGTGAGTTGAAGTTTGGAGCGAATCGTGAACAAAAGCAGCAGCAGACGCAGAAATGAGGTAGAAAGGGGATTTATTCAAAAATCCCGAGTGCACGATAAAATTGTCGCCTGGCGACTATCCTGTCGTCTGGCGAAAAGCTAAATGTGCGGCAACAAGGTCTTCCAGCAGGCGCTGGTGCGGCAACAGAATGTATGGCCCCGTAATATGCTTATGTGGACCTCATGCGGCAGTTTGGGTTCCTTGGTACGCCAGTTAGTGCCTATAAGCAATTTGACATGACTTAGTTATCGGCTCGATTACAATCACATTAAGTGATCAACCTGATTAATGATTGTCTCACTTAGCTTAAAGTTCCTAAACATTGGCTCATTGCAAAGGCACCGACATAATGGTTCATAAACAGCAGAGGCACTGACATAATGGTTCACAAGTAGCAAAAGCGCCGACATACTAGCACCGCGGAATTTTCAGCAAGTATCACGGAAGCAAAGTTCAAGCGAGCTTTAAAGGTTGACAAGCGTTGATCTTCGATAATTTCTTCGGAATATTATCGCAACAACTCATGATGACTTCAAGCGAAGATATCTTCGACAGCATTCCCTAGCTTACGGAGGGTTTTCAATAATGGCTTCAAAAGAGGAAATCTTTGATCATGTTCCCTGGCTTGCGGAATATGGTCACAAGGCGGTAGAAGATTGTTTCAAGCGAAGAAATCTTCTATAGTATTCTCTGGCTTGCATAAGACTATCACAGCAGAAATTGCAGGCATTTACAAGCGTAGCAATCTTCAAGCGGTATCCCTTAGCTTGAGGAAGATCGTCATAACAAATCGGTTACTCCCAAAGATGTGTGCTCGACGGTGCAAGGTACGCGTTTCTTAACTCTTTTATCTGCTTAACTAACAGTAGTTTGCAGGTATCGGCGTTACAAGAATGATTTAGGATCGCAGAACGTTCTGAAACATTCCCCGTCCGTATCATTACTTTGACTTTTAATTTCGAAACTTGCGTTTCTCCAAACTCAATCAAAGTAGGGACTTCTATAGACACCCATTTGTGTCTCCCCAAAACCAAACCCAGTGATGAATACCTTTCGTGTCGAATCATAATCCAATGAAGTGAAAGTATGGAAAGTCTAATGTTGTGGTAAGTTTTTATAAAAATCTTTCTTTATGTTTCTTAAAACCTACTCTTCTGAAAATAGCAAATCTAGTTTAGTTTGGTCCATAACATGGGTCCAATAATGGTGTAGTTAGATTGGGCTCAAAAAGAGCTTTCTAACGATATATTATAAGCCCAATTCCGATGAATAATGAGGAGGTTAATTAGTGTATAGTAGACCCTAGTGTAGGTACCAGTGTACCACACCCTACACCCCCCCCTCTAAACACACCGTTTAATATCCTACCCACACCCCCACTAACCGCGGTAACTACATACTACCCTCCCCAGTCCCCATTAACCTTAGTAAATGAAAAAATTACCGCCCCTACCCCACATATATATTTAGATAAAAAAAAAACAAATTTCAAATCATTTTCTCTTTCTGGAAACCATTTTATTTATTTCTCTAGAGTTTCTCTCTCATCAAACCCACCGAATGGGAACAAAATTCACTTCAAATTACTGAAAATTTTCTTAAAAATACTCTAAAATTGCTTCAAATGTCTAATATTCGAGATGAAATGAAACAACCACAACAACATCTTGAAAAATAGTAAGTAATTTCGTTAATTTTGTTCATTTTTTGCGATTGAAACCTTATTTTTGTTCAATTTCGTGCGATTGTAGTTTGATTTTGCAAAAAAACCACTTCAGAGATGAACATGCAAGATGAAACTGCAAAATCAGAGCAAGATGTATCTAAAGAGTAAGTAATTTTGTTCATTTTCTTTCGATGACAATTATAGTGCGATTTTATATGTGAAACCTAATTTTTGTTCAATTTTGTTCAATTTTATGTATGAACCCTAATTTTTGATCAATTTTTGTTCAATTTCTTTCGATTGTAGAAAATTTTTACTGAAAATTAACAAATTAATAAAAACAATAACAATTCATTAAACAAAAGAGAGACGATGATGATGTACCTCTTCAGTCAAGAGTAGAAAAGTTGAAAAAAAAACCGCTAAAAGGCTCTAATTGTAGATCCCGAACATTAAAAAGATATTGACAAGTCAATTGGTACGGATTTTAAAAAGTCTCCATTACCAAGGTAAGTAATCATTTACATAATATATTATGTTCATGTTTAATATGCTAGTTGTTTTTCATAAAAATTGGTTTTATCATTGTTTGATATGCTATTTGTATTTGTCCATATTTGATACTCATAATGTTCATTTATAGATATAGTTATGATCATATATTTATATTTGTTCATTTGAGTATTCATTGAGGTTGAATAACAAAAGTGCATTTCAGTGAAACATCATTGTATATGATCATATTTGATACTCATAATGTTCATTTGTAGATATAATTATGATCATACATGTATATTTGTTCATTTGAGTATTCATTGAGGCTTAAATAACAAATGTACATTTCATTTAAACATCATGCACATATATAAATATGATAATAATCATTTCAGTGATATGCATTCAAACTAATGTCCTGTAATTATTTTATAATGTAGTGATGTGCCATTTAGAGTGATACACTTGCTTCAATTAAGAGATGGAAAATCAGAACCATTAGCTCTAAAGAAGGTTATATAAAAAAATGAATATGGTAGTAGTTATCAAAGATACACTTTAAACAAGTAAGTTTATATGCATAAAATAATTGTTTTTACATGCAATCATTGTACATTGTGTATATATACCAAACTTATTAGGTAATTCTTAAAATTTTAGTGAAAAAAAAAGATTCGAGTGAAATTTTTTATGTCAAAATCAAGACCACCAGAGACAAATCAAACAATAAGGTATAAAAGCTTTATACCAAAATAACTAATTATCTTCTTCATTGTATAAATTATTTCATACTTTAATTTCATACTATATAAAATAATTCTATTTTTTAAAAGTGAACAAAGTGAGAACATCTCTGCTACTCATGCAACAACTGAGAGTGTGTCTGCTACACATAACACAACTGACAAAGAGAGTAGGGATCAAAGGTATACTAATGCTCAATTTTATATAAACAAATGTTCATTTTACATACAAAATTTTTTCATTTTTTATAATACAAATTCTAATTAATGAATATATACAATATTCAGTGAAAAGAATGTGGAGCAAAAACAGGATACAATTTTACCTGAAAAGGATAAACATGATGTTGACCAAAGGTATTAATAAATAATTTTCATTTCATTTTTGATAACTGTATATTTTGTGTACCATTTTGTGCATGTTTATTAAAAGCATTTCTTAATATTGGTTTCAGTAAGCAAAAACATGTTCAGCCAGAAGGGAAAAGCAATCTAGAAAAGAATACTCCTGAAAAAAAGGACAAAAATGAAGTTGATCAGAGGTATACTAATGCTAACTTTTATATAAACAAATGTTCATTTTACAAATAAAATTTTTTAATTTTTTATAATACAAATTCTAATTAATGAATATATACAATATTCAGTGAAAAGAATGTGGAGCAAAAACAGGATACAATTGTACCTGAAAAGGACAAAAATGAAGTAGATCAAAGGTATAAATATATAATGTTAATTTCATTTCATTTTTGATAAATATATTATGTGCATTTTTATTTAAAGTATTTTTTAATATTGATTTCAGCAAGTAAAAAGAAGTTCAACTAGGAGGGAAAAGCAATCTAGAAAAGAATACTCTTGGCCAAAAGTAAGATAAGTTAAATGTTCATTTTCTTTAGACTTTATGTTCATTTGCATAGCAATACAAAAAAGAATACTCCTGGCCAAAAGTAAGATAAGTTAAATGTTCATTTTTTAAGACTTCATGTTCATTTTTTATTTATTTAATCAAAATTGTAAATTCAAACATATTTTTAATGAATTATCAGAAAACTCAAAGATGACGATCAATAGAAGCGTGCAAGGAAAAAAATAATTCAAAAATAACAACCTTAAAGGACAAGATGCAACAAATACATTTAGACATAGAGAGAAACCCAAAGTGTGTTCAAATTTGAATAAGTGAATTAATATAATCAAATAATGTAGATATTTCAAAATTATATAACAGTATCATACATTTACATGAAGTACAAAGAATCGACAATCAGAATTATGAAAATTCTCAAAAGAATGGAAAAGGCAAGCAAGCAAATCAGGAGAGGTAAATGTTCAAATTTATTAAATATTTTTGTTTAATAATTATAAATATCAATTTTAACAATACTATTACTTTTGAAGGTGAAGCAAAACAGAAAGAAAAAGGGTCAGTAGAAGAGAAAACTGTGGAAACTGAGCTGAAAGGTAAAAATTTTAAAATGTACATTTTTATTACATAAAATGTTCATATTGGATCTGCATAATATTGAATGTTCAATAAGATTAATAAATTTCAATTTTAACTGATTAAATTTTCGTAGAAGGACAAGAGGGGGAAAAAGGGACTGAAAAAGAGAAAAGCCTTAAAGAGAAAACTGTGGAAGATGTCTTTCCAGAGACAACAAATCAGAAAGGTAAAAATTTTAAAATGTACATTTTTATTACATAAAATGTTCATATTGGATCTGCATAATATTGAATGTTCAATAAGATTAATAAATTTCAACTTTAACTGATTAAATTTTCATAGAAGGACAGGAAGGAAAAAAAGGGACTGAAAAAGAGAAAAGCCCTAAAGAGAAAACTGTGGAAGATATCTTTCCAAAGACAACAAATCTGAAAGGTAAAAATTTTAAAATGTACATTTTTAATACGTAAAATGTTCATATTTGATCTGAATAATATTGAATGTTCAATAAGATTAATAAATTTTAATTTTAACTGATTAAATTTTCATAGAAGAACAAGAGGGAAAAAAGGGCCTGAAAAAGGAAAAAGCCCTAAAGAGAAAATTGTGGAAGATGTCTTTCCAAAGACAACAAATCTGAAAGATAAATATTGAAAAATGTACATATTCATTACATAAAATGTTCATTTTTTATCTTTATAATATTAAATGTTCAAGAAGATTAATAATTTCCACTAATTAATTTTATATAGATGGACAAAAGCAAGACATGCCAAAGGCTAAAGAAATGAAAGATACAATTGCAAATGAAAGCCTAAAGAAAGTTAATATTCATTATATGAAATGTTCATTTATATTGTATATATTAAACATTTGTAATCCTATTTACATAAATGTTTATTTAATATTTTATATTTGATCATTTAATATGCAACACAAATGGCATCTAATTATGTTGAAATTGAGGATGAAACTGATCTGCTAGATGAAGATATGGATAAAGATTTCACAAAAAGTGAGGAAATAGCTGCCTCATCTCAAAAGAGTGAACAATCAACCAAAAGGAAATCAAGATACAAAATGGTTGCAAGACAAAACAAAAATAAAAGTCCTGTTGTGCCAAGTGGTAGAGTTACAAGAAGCCTAGGTAAAGGTAATACTTTTCTATTTAATAATAAATATTACATTTTTAACTTTACTAACATAAAATTTAAAACAAAATAGATGTTCTGTTGGATGAATCTGAAAAGGGAGGCAAGAAGAAGGTTGTTGAGCCTGCTGAAGAAACCACAAAAAAAGGTCAGAAAAGAAGAATGTCTACAAGGACTTCTCCTATTCAAAAGGAAGTTGATGCACCATCTACATCACCTACTCCAATCAAAAAATGGCAGGTGCTCCTGCTGAAAAAGTTGTACAAGGCAAAAAGGGTAAATGTTCAATTTTAATATATATAATGATGTATTATTAATGTTCAATTTCAATATATAGGTGGAAAAAAGAAAACTGCAGAAGAAGTGAAGAAAATTCTAAGGTTGCCGGCAAAAGAAAAGCAGATATATAATGATACATTATAAATGTTCAATTTCTATATATAAAATGATCATTTATGAAAACAATTTTGTTTCATTTTATAATTTGCTTAATGTTCATTTTCAATACATTAAAAATCATATGGAGATGATATTAATTTAAATTTCAATTTTTCAGTTGTCAACCCTGCCAAGAAAAATGTTGGGAAGAGGAAAAAAAATACAAGAAGTACCATCTGATGAACTATCTCAAGATCCTATTGATGAAAGTTCAACTGACATTGGAGATGATAGTGAAGAGTCAATATATAAAGCTGAAGCAGAGCCTGTCAGTGAGGAAGATGATGAGTTGGAGGAGGAGGAGGAGGAGGAGGAGAAGGAAATAAATCCAAAGAAGAAACAAGCAAAAAAGGGAAGGCATAGAAGTTAGTGAAGGCAAAGGCTGAAAAGGGGGAGCAAAAGTTGGTAGTGTATGATCAAGGAAAGAGCGAAGGTAAGGGAAAAAAGAAAAATAAAACTGAAATAGTTAAAGCAATGGAAACTGAGGAAGTTGAGGAAATACAGGAAGAGGAATTTGAGGAAGAGAAAGCATCAAAGAGAGGACATGTCAAGTTCATGCAATGGATAGATAAAATGACAGCTGAGCAAAAACAACTTGTTGATATAGAGTTAGGATCACTTCTTGACATTAGTTTACCTCAACTTAAAGTTTCTGTAATTGGATATTGGGAAGTTTTGAAGAGAGTAGCCAAACTTTTGAATTGTCAAAGAAAGAAAAAATAGAAATTGAGGTAGAGGATGTGAGGGTAGTTTATGTCTTGCCTACACGAGAAATTCCAATTGTTGAGGCAAAGTCTGATAAAGCTAGTGAGGAGTATGCAGAATTTCTGAAGAAATGGAGAAAATCTTGGTCAGGAAAAACTCCATCAGTGAGTCAGGTATGATCAGTTTTAAATGTTCATTTTTAATACATTACATGATTAAAATTGTAAACGTTTTGTTCATTTTGTTTACAGATTGTGAATGGATACATACATTAATAATTCATCAACAAAAGACCACCAAGTGAACATTTCATAACTAACTTTTTAGCAGTGGCTGCGAACTGCATGATGAAATGCAAATTAAAAAATCAATGCCATTTCAAGTTTCTTTTTTCTATGATGGACAAAGAAAAAATAAAGAATTTGAATTGGTGTTAGTATATATTTGACTCACTTATCAAAAGTCATGTTGATTGGAGAAAGCAGAAAGGCAAGGGGTTCTACAAAGGCTCTCTACAATTTCTGATGCTAAATTCTTAAATACAAAATGTTCATTCATATTTAGATAAATGCTCATTTGTTATATTGTTGATGTTCCTTGTTTTATTTGTTCTTGTAGCTGTTTTATTTTGATAGGGTTCAGAGGTTAGACAAAAGGCCTCCAAGAACATTTCCTATTATTTCTGCATGGAAAAGAGACATGGTTCTTGAAAGGATGAAGACTGAATTTGATTTGGGATTTGGGAGAGGAAAAATCCTACCAAGGATTGCTGCAAAAGTTGAAGAAAGTGCTCAGGTTATAAAATGATCAAAATTGCTAACATAAATGTTCATTTGTATGATCTTAAATGTTCAACTTCATAATTCTGAATATTCATTCTTATAATCTAGGTTTTCATGGATTATTTTGTAACCCTGGTAAAGACAGCTTGTTCAAACCCGTCAAAGCTTTCTACAAAATTAGTGAAGCCAAAGAGCATCTTTCCTGGAAATGACTTGGTCAAAAAAGTTGATGAAGTGTTAGGAAATGTGGCAAGTAGGGAATAGTCAATTCTAAGCCAAGATGAAAAATTCTTTAGCAGTGATGATTTCCTTAATGCACTTGATCAAGCTGAGAAGGATCTGATGCAAGCATCTGAAAAGCAAACAACTAAAAAACAAATGACTGAGAAGCAAATTTCTGAGAAGCAAATGGCCAAAAAGGGAAAGGAAAAAGAACAAGAATATGACATCAGAAAAGCTTTCAGCTTGGGGTTGACTTCACCTTTTCCGGCCATTAGTAAATTCTAACTCAAAGACACTATTCTGATTTTTATATGCAAAATTCTCAATTTGTGGTCTAAATTGTTTTAATTTGTTAATTTTTAAAAATAGGAACAACACCCAATACTTCAACACTTGGTAATATAATTGAACCACCAACAACTTCAACAAATGATAAAATGTTAATTTATATAATAAATAATGTACATAAGTGAAAATTAAATCTTCATTTCTAATTATTATGTGTAAAAAAATAATAACTTTATGTATATCCATAATGATGATTTATAATACAGTTGAAGAAATGGATATGGGTAAAACTTCAGCAGCTTCAGAAGAAAATATTGAAGGATTGCCTAAAAATGATAGAATGTTCAATTAAAAAGAGTAAAATGTTCATTTACAAAGAAATAATATTCATATCTAATTTTATTTCTTCTTAGACGCAGGATCTGGTTCAAAAAATGATGTTGACACTAGGTCAGATATTGGTGGAAAAAGTGATGATCCGATCGGAGAAGCAAAACAAGACAAGGAAGATGTTTTTGAAAAAACAAAGAATGATGAAAAAGTGGAGGGGAAAAACTTGAAGACATGTCTTACTATTAGGGTTATGTAATTAGTAAGGATAAATTATCTAGATGGAACAATTTAACTTATGTAACTATCGTGTTGTAACTTCAAACTAGTGTTTCATAAACTATTGTATGTGTGTACAATATTTTGTTGAATATGTATTATGAATGTGTGGTTTATGTTATATAAATATCTTTCATTCAATAAATTGAAAACGCACATAACATATTATATGACTTATCATTTTATTTATATGTACTGACACTGTTTGACATTTTAGTGAACCCAAGGAGACTGATACAACATCCTCAAAAGTCACAAAAAGGTACATACATAAAACTAATGTTCAAAATTATTAATGAACATTTTCAGATAACTAAATGTTCATTTTTCTTGTTTAATATGTCCAGGATTGATGAAAAGAAAAAGTTAATTGATGTAGACACCCATTTGTGTCTCTCCAAAACCAAACCCGGTGATGAGTACCTTTCACGTCGAATCATAATCGGATGAAGTGAAAGTTTGGAAAGTCTAGTATTGCGGATAGTTTTAATTTCTTTTCTTTTCTCTCTGTTTTTGAAAACCTATTTTAAGAAAACAACCAATCCAGTTTGTTTGGTCCATAATATGGGTTCAATAATGGTGTAGTTGGATGGGGCTTAAAAGAGCTTTCCAACGATATATTATAAGCCCAATTCCGATGAATAATGAGGATGTTATGGCCAAATTACAAAACTGGGCCCGGTTTGAGCCTTATATGCGGCCCAATATGGATTTATCATTCCTATGCAATTAGGAATGGTTTTAGTCTTCTAGATTCTTCTAGAAGGTTCTTTTCATTCCTAATTGAATTAGCATTGATAAATTTACTTTTGTTGACTTCTTGGAGTTTTAATCAGAATAAAAGAGTATTTTTAAGGAAAATACGATTTTTCCCTTCTGTACGGTTAAATTTTATCTGAATTGAGAAAACGCGTGAAAAAATTAATTAGCGCCTGACGACAGACATTAGCGCTTGGCGCTAATGCCTGGCGCCAGGCGCTAGCCTTAGCGTCTGGGGCTAATGGTCAGCACCTGGCGCTAACTTCTTTTTTCCTCGTCGAAACTCTGATTTGTTGTTTTATCCGTTTGGCTGATTTTCTCTATAAATAGCCTCCTAAAACCTCCGTTTTTCATCACCAATTCTCATAAATATAACAACTCTCTAATTCTCTTCTCTCTTGAAGCTAAAGCTTTTTTTTCTCTCTCTTTTCTAAACCAACCTTTTTACATACAAAATTCCGCATTCACAAGACCAAGAAACACGTAGCATTGTTCGAAGTTGCCTTCGCCCTAGACGTGAAAGGTTTTAATTTCTGAGGGTTTGATCCCTAATCTTTATTTCAATTATTTAATTTAATTGTTTGTTTTAATATTTTCCTTTAAGTTACTAACGCATGTATTTTGTTATTAGAAAGAGATACGAGGCATCCAAGTAAGTGCTTTAATGATTTTAATTAATATTATGATGTAGAAATCATGCTTAGGTTGTTATTATGATTCCTAGCGTCATGTTAGGGTGTTTTGATCTTCCTAGTATCATGTTTAGGGTAACAACTATAAAATCCTAATATCAAGTATGATTAAAAGTATGATGCTTTCTATTTCTTTCCTTATATCTCGTTAGTATCATGCCTAGGATCTGGCTATTATTATTATGCTTTAACGTGAACATGATTATGATTTATAATTATTTAGATGATGATTATTTTATTATTATTATTATTATTATTATTATTATTATTTTATGATTATAATTATGATAATTATTATGATTATTATTATGTTGCTTGATATTTATTATTGCTTGATCACACCTTTTATGCATGTTTAAAGGGAATTTGTACTTGTAATCACACTTAATAAGAGAATTAATAATCTTGTTTAGGGTTAATTTGATTATAAATTCAAGTGATCGTCAATAATAGTTTTATTTGTGCATTAAATTCAACCAACATAGATAAACAAGTTTAGAGTTAAACCTAATGATTGCATGTTAGTCAGAAAGCGCACATGAATACGATCAGAATAAAGTAGTGGCCTATTATTAGGGCAGGTTCAATCTCTTTTAGGTTGGATTTGTACCTTCATCCCCAAACTACCAGTCATGGTTCCAAACCTATTGGAGTTGACGATCTCCTGGATCGTTAAGGGGTGTAACCTTCACCTCGTGAACGATTTACAAGTTCCTAAAACTTGTTAGCGACTCTTATGCTCTATCTTCTTTCCCTTTGGACACCACCGTACTTTAGTGTATGATCACAGTAGGTTTCAAGTTTGGATAATGCTTGAAATATTCCCTACAGTTTTTGGCGACTCCACTGGGAGGATTTCTATTTTAATTCCTAAAATTTATATTGGCAATGATTTAGAATGAGTGGATGAGACTCGAAAAGTTCTAAGTATTTCATGTGCGTAATTTTGATTAACATTATTGTCATATGCATAAAAAAGATCTCATTGGAAAGACCATCCGTAATGAGTTAAAACATAGGATTTTTACACGTAGGAAATTTGAGGAATATCTTTCACAACTAGAACCGAAATAATGCTGCGCGAAACTGGAAAATTTTATCGAGCATAGAAAGCTGCTGAGGCATGTAGGAACTAACATCACGGAACAAAGTTCTGTCGCCAGGCGCTAAAGCCAAAAGGTGGCGCTGGCCTCTGTTTGCGGGCGCCAAGTTCTTCCAATACCGCGCCAGAAATATGCGTTCTAATTTCGACCAGTTTTTAGCACTATTTGCTCGATCTTACTTCCTGATTGAGTTTTTCTCACTTTTCTGAAACCCATATGCGTTCTTCATATGGACATAATTCCCTGAAAATTCATGCTCCATCTACCTGATTAAACGCTCTGAGAACCAAAGGGTACATCCGAGAATGTTGAATTCACCAAACCATGGAAGCTAGTTTTCTAAACTCGAGGTGTCCCATCCACTCGCGCTAACCCTTCACGGTTAGGCTTTCGCGTGGTGCACCCGGACAATTAACCATGGACCCTCTATTGACTAACCCATATCCCTAACTTTAGAGAACTAGAGCCATGGTTAGGTTGCAAACTCATTGCATCATGATTGTGCCTACTTGACTAATTGTGCATCCTCTATGTGTTTTTCCTAACCGTTTGTTTGACTTGTGTTGAGATTAAATAAACTGATTTATGACTAAAGAACTTTGCCTAATTAATTAATTAATTAATTAATTAATTAATTTGAGTAATTAAAGTATAATAATTTAATCAGAGTTGACTTAGTACGACTTTAGGCATACCTTGTAGAGTAATAATACCGAAAGCGGTTCCAGATCGACGTTCCAGCAATGGCGCCAAGATTAAAACTGCAGCGCCACTCTTTGGAGTGTAGTGCCTGGCGACAGTCCTGTCGTCTGGCGCTACACTGCAAAGAGAGGCGCCAGTCGTGTCGTTTTGGCGACAGTTCGGTTTGTTGCTCGAGTCATCACCTTATGTCTAATTGAAAAGTTTTCTAGTCGATTCAGTTAATTTTTACTGGTAATAATACCTTGTCAAGTCATTAATTGAGTCTAAGCACTAAGTCCTATGGTCTTACATAAGAGTCAAAGCATGTCACTTACACTCACCATAAAAAGCACACACTAATGTACACTTTGACCATGTCTAAGGGAGTCTTGTATGCGCGTATTTTCCGTCATTTTTTTTAGGGGGGGTAAGTCGGATATTAATCCTCCGATTAAACCATTTGTTTGAACTCTATACTTAACTCCCAAAAATATATACCTTATTTTTGCCAAAAATATGCACCTATTTTTGCTTTTTCCTTCTTCAAATAGTAAAGTCAAAGTCAATTTGAGTCAAGTCATTAAAACAAAAATGGTTTAATTTACAGCGCGTGGTCAAGAAAGGAAGGGTGTTTGATTAAAGACAACCTTTTTATTCAAGCCCAAATTTTCGACAAACCGATCGCTCGTAAAAGGAAAGCTAAGACAATAATGGCAACTCAAGAGGAAGTTAATGAGCTCAGGAACCAATTGATTACTGTGACTGAGGTGTTAAAGGTTTTAAACCTCAAAATCGAAGATCCTGTGAAACAACAACAGATGGACCTCATGCAAGAAATTATGAGCAAACTGTCTAGTGGCTATAAGTTTCAAGGAATTAGTTCACAAGGGGTCTCGGTGGACAAGGATCTTCTTCCGCAGAAGTTCAATGCCAACGAAATCCCAAAATTCAAAGAGATTGACAACCCTTACTTTCACCTAAGAGCCTTCGAAACGATAATGAGTATCAAAGGCATTGACAAGAAGTTGTTTCCCTCGTTGTTCTCCCTATCCCTCGAAACCGTTTGCCAACAATGGTTCTTTTCTCTTGACAAAGAAAGAACCTCTACTTGGGAGTCTATAGTAAATGCTTTCATTGATAGATACAAGTGCAACATTCAAGTTGAGACTGGCTATAGGGAACTTGAAATCCTCAAGCAGAAAGAGAATGAAGGTTTTACCTCTTTCTTCAACAAATGGAGAGAAACCTCTGCTAAGATGATTGATGTGCCAAGCGAAAAAGAATCTGTAAGGTTATTCATCAAGAACCTTCAAGAGAAGTACTCCAAGCATCTCAAATTACAGAATAATCTCCATACCTTCAACGCCGTCTATGACATTAGAATCAATATTGAAGACGACCTGGCTAAGCTGAAAGATGCTAACAGTAACTCCAACAGTGGCTGGAAAGGTAAGAAGAACGACAATCCTTCTTCTTCCAAAA